TATAAAGAATAAGTGATATATTGACAGATTTYGTGCTGCTTTTGACATTTATAGCAACCCAAAACTAGAGTGATGTTATTATATTATCCAGATCTTCAGGTACACTTTTCAACTGGAACTACATCTCAGCTGGCATGTCGGACATTTTCTGTCAGTTTTTGAACAGCCTGCTTGTGAATAATTGTCGTACAAAATTTTTTTCTATTTCAATCAWTTCTGTAAAAGCACAGGATTTAGGTATTGCCATCTAATTATGTATCCAGTGTGAAGAGACAGAACTTCTGCTTCATGACTACATCATGCCCTGCCCTGGTCACACCATGGGAGACAATTTGCATGAAATTGCAAAAAAACCTCCATGTCAGACCATGGAATTATTGTTGCTGCTGCCTTGGGGCTGAACTGCTRCTTTAGGGGCATATCAGTATGAGTGGGACAGGGAAGGAGTCTTCTGACATGACATCAGCATCATCAAAACTCAACTGTGGCAGCTCCTTGCATTGTGAAGACTGAAAAAACATTAGACATAGTTAAGGATGYAAACTTAGATAAAGGTTGTGAAAAGGTAGAAGCAAGGCCCTGTGATGTTAGATTGATGTAATCATTTTTATCTGTTTAATCTGGGAAAACTATGGAAGTCCAGCCATGCTGGCTTAATGCCTGTAAGAAAACTTGCAAAGTGTTAGYCCTTATCAGATTTAATATTTACAGTGGCTGAAGGCATCATAGCATTCTGTCATTTTTTTTTCAGATTCATTAAATAATTGCTAAGAAAAAGTGTTAAATTAAAAGATACAAGTTGGTCTCTTTGTCCTGGTTTTCTCRGTGATCTGATGAGCTAGAAGATTTATTGGGTTTTATTTATTTATTTTTTAAAAAACAATGTCTTATTTCATTCTCTAAATTTATGTTGCTAGTAGTAAATTTAAGAGAGAGAAAAAAGGACACTATAGTGTAATAACAGCTAGCTACTGAGATAATAAAGTATTTGAACTTATAATACATCAAGATTTTCTGGCCCAATGTTTTTGAAAAGCAAGAGTAGATTTTCCTCAATTAAGAATAAAAAAAACAATGAACTTATTTTAAATATCTACATGGAATACATTATTTTAACGATTTTATCAGATTTTTGAATATTTATTCAAAGCTGTTCTTATTAAAAACAGGAAAAAAATATTGAGCTTTGTAGTATGTTGGAGGGATATCACTTGAAAGTAATCATTAGATTGCTCTGGCTTTAAATTGTGATTTTTACCCTCAAAAGAAGTCAGTATTTTAGTTTTTCTASTCAAAATCCAGAAATTGTAGCTTCTGTTAAAGGTTTTGTTCTCAGACTTTTTATGTGACATGGGGTTCCCACTGGTATTGTTCCATTTTGTGTTTCTCTTGCAGTGAATTGACTTCTGCACCCAGCTCTGCCAATGAACTCTACCATGAACTTTCCCCCACTAATGACAGCATTGCCCAAATCTAATACTGCGTGTGTGCAGCCTCCACTGCTTTATGCAAAGCTGTCCAGGTTAGCTCAGATCACTAATCTGAATGTTTTGAACAAAATCCAATGGTTTTTGATTTATGCAGGCCAGACTCCCTTACACTGTTTTGATAGGTGGTATTGGTATGGAATATCAGACGATTGTGATTGTCCTCCTGGAAGTATGATGAAAATCTGGGAGTGGTGTACCAGCATCCAAATGAACATAAGAGTATAAGAAAAGGAAGTGTAAGGAAGAAATTTAACCATTACTGGGAATCTATCTGTAGACCAACTCCTTCCTTTTCAGTCTAAATGGATTTGGTCTTTTTTAAACATTAACACTTCATGATATAYAGCATTAAGCATTAGTAGTAAGATTAATGGTATCAAGGATCTTAGTCACAGTAAAGTAAATGGAGTCATTGTGTTGTRGTTTATAGCTCCATCACAAGATGAGAAGTGACCATTAAGGTATGTTCCTAGCTTAAAATATAACTAGTGACTTAAATTTAATATATTTACTCTCACGATAAAATATGAGGCTGCAAAATGCTTTGATGAAAAGGACACAGCATTTATAATACTTTAAGACTTAAACCTTTAATTTGCAGTTACACATAAGAAAAACTTCATGCTCTTGTGTATAAAACACCTATATAGTGTGTAATTTATGATTCAATATCTTTCCTCCCATTCCTATTTCCTGCCTTCCTCCTCATACACCATTTTAAAGCTCARTTCTACAATACATAAAGGCTTCTGTAGTTAGGCAAGAGAAAAAAAACAGGGTGTCAATACTTTCAATTGTTAGCCTTTATTCTACCTGTCATGTTTTGATAGAACTATAGATGAATGAACTTTTTTTTTTTCTTTTTTAGCTTTATGCAATGCAAGAAAAAAAAACAATAGCCCACTTTAATGATTTGGCAAGGTACTTGGAGAGACAAATGATGTTATGCAGCTTGTAAGCCTACGTGTCAATATAGTCAGGTCCATTTTAAGCAGGTAGGAAGGTGAAGATCAGAGATAGCTTTGTGCTATTTTGTATTCCTTCAGAAGGAATGTAGTAACATTTTATAAAACCTTTTGTTTTTCTCAGAAACAATGACTTAATGAAAGAAGGTGTATTACACTGCATATTAGATTACCTATATGTAGATCAAAAGGAAAAACAATAGGGATTATCATGGCCAGTTCAACAAACTTGAGAAATATGAGCTGAGTCACAGCTTTCTTGCAAAAACCTTGCCTTTCCTGGAGACTACYATTCTTACTGTGCTTTGGCATCTCTCTGTACAGCTGTAGCAATACCAATTCTTCATTTCTTCTCTATTTTCTCCTGTGTCTTGGAAGAAGAGTCATAATTAGCCATACGTTCAGTCCAGCTACACCTCTGGGAAAAGCTACTCTGCTGACAGTGGAGGAGGCAGATGCTTGACACGTGTGTTTGTCACTGCCAGCTATGGGGTTCAAGTTTGCAGGGCAATGGCAGCTGCCTGCTTTGCAAACTGCCACCACAAGCTCTGCTTTCCACTCTTTGGCTCTCAGCCTTGAGTAAGAGGAACTGTCAAAAAAGTACCTTTATTTTGTCCTTTAAAAAAGTGTTTTTCTTTTTACATTTTCAGCAGATCAATATTAGAAAAAGCTATTAATGAAAAGGAGTATTTCCATTCAGATGGTGGTGTTGCATGTACACAGACACAATGTGTATCAACCTTTTGGGTAAAGGCATACAGATTGGAGATGTTTTGTTSCCGATGCTGATAAATTAGCCTATTTTAGTCCCACATTGAAGGAAAGCTGGACCTACTTTCCTCACAGCCATTGATAAAATGCCTTAGAGGGAGAAGACATTTAGCCTTCTTTGGAACAAAGATTGAATGAGAGAGAAAAAKAAGAATGTAAGGAAAAAGTTTGCAGCCAATAAAAGCTAAGACTCACAAGGAAATGCTGCCTGCAGAAATGAAATGAACACAATATTTAGAAGGGAGTGTTGAAACATAAATTTTCTGACATAAAAAGTTTAAGCAGCTTCAGGGAGTCAAATCCTCAGCAAAAATCATAGATTAATGACATATGAACATTACACTGTAAGGTTTTATCTATCCACTGTAAAAAAAAAAGGTACCCATATTATATCTGGTAGTGCTGTTACTCCCAGTTCATTCCACTGTTTTCAATAATGACAACACCCATTATAATTCAAGTATACCTGGGGGACTTAGAAGTTGCTGCCAGTTCTCACATAATACAATGAATTTTTTTTTTAAATCTTATCTAAGGAAAGAAAGAAAACTGAACCCTTGGCAGTAATTGATTTCAACCATGAGGGGGACAGTGCTCTACCAGACAGGATTAAATTTGTTGCAATTGTTCCCCTGCTCATTTTTGCTGCAAAAGAAGTGCTGTTTTCCTACTGTAAATTTCTTCTAAGATGCTAAATTTTTAAGGGATTTAAAGAGTAAACCCTTAACCATGAATATACTGCATGTGAGAGTGCCAATACTGCAGAATGTTGCAGGTAGGCCAGTGGCTCTAAGACCCCACTTCAGTCCTATGGTCAGTATTCCTGTATTTCACTGTTAATGTTTTCCATGGAAAAGACTTAGTTTAGCAAATATTACTAAAGTGAGAAAAATTCAAAAATAATGCACTTGCTTTTCCTTTTTCTTGCCCTATCCCTGGAAGTGCTCACGGCCAGACTGGATGGGGCTTTGAACAACCTGCTCTGGTGGAAGGTGTTCCCTTGCCTGTTAGATAATCTTCAAGGTCCCTTCCAAACAAACCATTCTGTGATTCAGACTGATTCTCCAACTGTCTTGTCAATTTTTGTATTGAAAATCAGCCCACAGAATAAGCCTTAAAGAGTTTGAGACAACTTTTTAATTACAAYCCCTCCCCCAACAACAAAACAAACAAACAAACGAAGGATTCCTAGCTTGCGGTTACATCCCCAGTGTTGTGTATTACTTGCCACATGCAACAGGTGGAATCTCACCGGTTTTACCCGGAGAAACTAACGGAGAAGTTGGCCAGCGCATGCTGCGGCCGGACCCGGCCCTGCCGGGTGCCCCGTGTCCCGTTCCTGTCCCCGCTCCTTCCCCAGGGCAGCGCTCGGTCTCGGCCCCGGCCCCGCTCCAGCGCCGGGCCCCTCACCGGGGCTGTGCCCGTGCCCGGCGCTCCCCGCGTTGCCGCGGCAACAGCTCGGCGCCCGAGGCTGCTCTACCGCCGGCATCGGGATCGGGATCGGGATCGGGATCGGGATTGGGATCGGGATCGGGATCGGGATCGGGATCGGGATCAGCCGCTGGGATCGGGATCAGCCCCGCCGCAGCGCTCGCCTCTGCCGGGGCCGTTCCCCGCTGCCCCCGGGGCGTGTCCCGGCGGGCGGCCCCGCTGCCCTCAGGGCTGGCCGGGCAGGGCAGTGGCGGCAGAGGCCGGAGCMGATCCGCCCGCCTCCCCTGGCCTCTGCCGGGCCAGCCGGGATGTGCTCCCTGCCGCTCCCCTCCCACCGCCCCCTTCCCTCGCAGGAGCCTTCCGCGCCGAGTTTAATGGCTTTGCAAAGAAAGCCGGGCAGAAGAACGCTTTCCTCGGTGGCGGTGGTCAGACCATGACCTAACTCACCATGAACTTGGAAGGGCTTGAAATGATAGCGGTGTTGATCGTGATTGTGCTTTTTGTAAAAGTGTTGGAACAGTTTGGGCTGATTGAAGCGGGTTTAGAAGGTAAGGGAGTGCTTTTCAGTGGCTCGTCATATTTCTGTGCTGGTTATTGTGTTGCAGCGAGGCAGGAGGCACCTGTAAACTGGATGTAAGGCACTGCCTGGGTCACCTCAAGAACGACTTCAGTGGCTGTCTGTGTGAATGTCGGTTTAATTCTGCAGGAAAAGTAAACTGGTATCCAGAAAACTGCCAAGATAAACTCGGGTTTTAAAGTCTGAATCTCTTAGTCCTGTTTTAAATCTGCTAATTTAAAGTAGTGGAGGGTCAAAGCAGATTTTAGGATGATTACAGGCAGTTATCGAAATTGTTTTGTAATTTATTCACGTTAACATCATCTGTACCAGGAGTATTATAAGATCAAAATACATATTTTATAGTATTTAAAAACCTGTTGAATATTTAATTTACTGATAACATTTTAAAGTATGCTTGAGAAAGAACTAAGATACTCAGACTCGAACTAAGCAACTTRTACATTCACTAAGGGCAATCAAGTGAAAATTTTGCTGCTTGATTCTTTGTTTTTCTTAGATGTCCTCCTCTATTAGCAATATTATTTCTTTAGAAAGCAGTAAAAATTAAAACCAAGAAGCTTATTTTGTTTTAAATGTGCTTTTTACATGTAAAAGCTAGAGGAATATTGATTATTTTTACCCTTTTTTCTAAGAGAGCTGTTATTCTTACCATATGAAGAGTTAGAGTAAGAAAAACACTGCTTTCAGCATGGTCGATAACGTAATGACAGTCATTGCATCCCAGTGTTTTATTAGGTTACAGTCTGAAGTGGTCTGCTTCTCAGATATTGAAGGAATATTGTATTCTCAAGTCTTCCTGTAAGCTGGCATTTGAGTACAGTGTGCATACTTACACCTATGAAAAGGACAACTTTGTTGACTAATTGTGGTTTCATGTGTTAATGTGTCAGAATATAACCAAAATTTTCTCCTATGGAAAGGTCTAAAATAGTCTTGTTTATGTAACCCTTGCAAGAAATGCAGTCTTCAAGTGATTTTAAATAAGAAACTTAACTGGTACTGTGTTGCTGTCTTGTGTGGACTTGCTAGAATCTTGCTACAGAATCTTAAAGCCCTGCAGAGATGACAATAATATGTTATCAAGTACATTATTATACTTAATATACTTAATTATTATTATTATACCTAATATTTGTGTTAGACTACATTATATTAAGTTTAAATGACAACGGAAATATTCCCTTAAATATATGAACTTCTGATTTTCTTCTGGTGCTCTGTTTACTTTTAAATAGAAATGCCTTTAACATGATAAATGTTATCATAAAAGTTATGTCCAGCATTAGAAGCTGCAAAGATTGGAGAAAAAAAAAAATCTGTGTTTACTATTTAGGTTGTTTGGCATGTTTCRGTGTGCTCTGTCAAGTCTCATTGCCAAATCTGTTTGGGTTCCCTGGTAAAATACATCATTTGATTGTTGTCTGTACTCGTTGCTATGGCTGGAGAAACTGATAATAGAAAGGCAATTCAAAATATAGTGAAGATGTCTGTAAATGGTTGTATTATTTTTGTAAGAAATARGTTTCTTGTGCAGCTGCCCGTTGTGCCTGCTTCACTGGCCAAAAGTCTGGCAGTCTGTGTGTGCACAAAGTCTTAAAGTTTCTTAGTGCAGGACAGATTTCCAGCTTGCCAGCTAGCGGAAAACCCAGGAAGAAATATCTGCCMCATTCCTCTGTGATGTTCAACTTCTGTGAATGACATAAAAGGCATGTTACATGGGAATAAAATAATAGATGTAAATAATGGTGTGTGTTAATGGGTCTTCACTGAATTCCACAGACTGAAGAATTTTTTTCGTCATAGTTCAGGAGCAGTGCATATTTCTTCCCCACTACTTTTCTAAAACCTGTGATTGAAAGAGCTGAACTCATTGCAATAGGAAAAAAAAAGATTTTTACACTTTTACTAGGGATTTGAAAAATTGTCAGTATGTTAAAAATTATCAAGGCTATTCATTTCCACTCATGAATGAAAAATACATGCATTGTAAAATTGTGCAAATGTTGGAGAAGTTTTTAACTAGAGTGTTTTAAAAAAGGAAATTTTACAAGTATAGTGAGACTATGTATGTTCCTTTGCAGAAATCAGTGATGAAGTTGGTCTCAGCTTTCTGAAAATGTTGGGTTTTTAAGTATATGTGTAGTTTTCTGGGTTTGTGTCATTTATAACCCATATTTCTTTTTCACAGACCTTAATACATCCCAACAAAATCTTTTCATTTGTTTCACACAATTTAATMGTTTATGGTGTATAAAACACATCCTATGTCTACCTGGAGATCAGAATAAGTAATAATCTCTAACACAGTGCACCCAATGCAGGGTGCTAAAACTCATTCTGAAGCTTTGATAAAGGTTGATGTTTCAGAATCCTATTGTGTCCCTATCATGGTAACAAAATCTTGACAATAACTTACCTTACACTGGATTGTCATGGTTCTGAACTTTGTGAAACACCATATTAATTTGGAAGAATCAGGTACAGTGATGTAAATCAAGAGCAAAATCTCATTTTCTTGTGTTCAGTGTCATAATAACTATCRTAAGTGTAAGAAATATTCTGCTTCCTTCAGACTCTTCAATGCAAATTATGTGTATGATAGTAATAGAATGCAATTCTTTTCATTCTTTCTGAAAATAATAAAGTATTATCAGAGTAAAAATTGTATGTACTTGCTTGTAGTGCATTCACTCAGATAACAGTGTGCTTTCTGTGGTTTTGTCCAATTACCTTCAACTGCTGAGTGATTCTGTTGTTGTAGGAGAAGTATTTTCAAATAGATGTTTTTAATATTGTATGACAGCTCTGAAAGTGATAAGTARCAGAACAGATTTATACACTTTAGTAGGTTGTGGGTTTCAGAGACTTTATCTCTCAGTTAAATATTATTTTATGATGTATTGCACTCACTTAGATTGCAGTCTGCTTTCTGTGGTTTTGCCCAGTTGCTGAGTGGTTTTACTGTTGTTATAAAAGTATTTTCAAATAGATGTTTTTAATATTGTATGACAACTCTTAAAGTGATGAGTAGCAGAATAGATTCATTCATTCTCATGGGTTGTGGATTGCCAAGGCTTTGTCCCTAGGTTAAATTTGTAACTCTTCATAAATTAGGTTATGTCTTCCTTGATAAACTTCACTTTTTTTTATAACAGTAATTTATTAGGTGTGAAGAGTAATGGATTGATATCTAATCAGGAAAGTTTGTTCCTAGATACTTTCGATAACAACTTAAAATTATTTCTTTTTGTATGGCAACTTTTTCCTAAAGTTATTCATAAGTAGAATGGGATACAGGAACTGAATAGCTATATGGTACAGAAGGTTACCCTTTTAAGATTATGCCATACTCAGAGTATTGATTTATACCGTTTCAGTGTACTTCCAGTACTTTTCTGAAAAGTATTTTGAGATCTTCATATTAAGGATCATACGAACTTGAAATGGAAGAGGTTTTCTTTGTGAATATCTTCCCTGTATGTCAGTTTTTCTGGGTTAAGTGTTAGAGACGGAGAGGTTGAAGCATTATGAAATAAGCCCATTCCTAAATTAAAATGGCTTTGTCCTAAAGTTTCTTGAAGAACCTGGATTGCTTTTTAAAAGCTAAATCACTAATAATTAAATAAACAAATAAATAGATTCCTCTTGTTCAAGATACACATTGAAACCTACACCATTGTGAATAAAGTTCAGAGAAGAAATCTGAATTACATGACTGATCAAAAATATTTAAATAAGATCACCTTGCTTCTTACAGCAGTTAGATAATTTAATAGAAAAAAACCGGCATGGAAGTAGCCATATATGTCACTGTGAAATGTGCATTCCAGGTGTCTCTGTTATCTATGTTGGTATCTATCTAAAATCCTTGGTTTAGGAGTCCTGAGARTGGCAGCGTAATAATCAAGCTAAATTATTATTGAAATATTTGATTCCTCCAAAATGTCAAAGCAGTTCCTAATCCCATTTTAGTAATCTTGGGTATTAATAACCTCCCATTCATCAGCTGGAAAACAAGAGCAAAACCACAGACACATAGGTAGTTGTGATATTTACAACAGTTTTTGACAAGGACTGGATATGACTAGATATGAAGTGGAAGTTGCTTATGGTTGCTCTGAAACCAGCAGCCTCTGGAGCTATTTTACCATCCAGGCTATGATCTGCTGGGAATATCAACATTTCCACAGTGATGTCCCTCCTCACAGTGTTCTTCATGAATGGAAGAGGACTAATATCACAGCATCACAGAACAGTTGGGTTGGAAGGGACCTCTGGAGAGCATCTAGTCCAGCTCGCATAGAGCATAGAGAAARTTGCATGGGTTTGCAATCCTGGCAGGCGTTGAACACTTCCAGTAAAGGAGACTCCATGAACTCTCTGAGGAGCCTGTTGCAGTGCTCTGTCAAGCTTTTCCTCAATATTCATTTCAGAAGATTCRAAATTAATATCATTTCATCCTAGAAATAGCATGTAATAAACATAGGGGCTTTTATGCCATTTTTCTTTTCTTAAGATCAGTCTGGATGTCACAGTTATGCACAGAATTGTAAAGTATGAAAATAATTGTGCACTAATAATTGAAAAGAGTAGGCAGAGCTGACAGAGGGCAAAAGACAAAAATATGATAGAAATTTTAATATTAGTAATTTCAGGCATTCCTTAGAAGTAATTTGTTCAATTAAGTCTTCATAAATTACAAGATAAATTGAATCAAAACAGGTGTTGAAACAACTCCCTCACTGTGGGTGAGTGAGCAGTAGATGGAAATCTTTAACACAGAACTCCCGTGAATTTTTTCTTGATTAAATATTTGGCTCAAATAACACTAGCAATTCATTTGTAGACTGTATTGTAGTTGATTTGGAACTATGCACATGTGACCATCTGACCAGCTTGTGCATCCAGCGTGACTGGCCAGCAAGCAACTACTGGACAGAATGGATAAGAGAAAAACGCTTTCAATTT